TGCGCAAGATTCTCCGTAAGACTTTCGCCGACGTCATCGAGAGCTGCCCATGCTCATCGCTACGCCCAATAACATCTCTCCAGTTTCCGCGTCCGGGATGCGGCGTCCCCAGCTGATCCATCTGGCGTAGTACAATAAAGACTCGTGTCATTCGTGATTATCGATGTGGTCTCAGTGAAAAGTCAATCAGACAGATAGTTTCAACCAGACCCACTTCCTCGATGGTTCCCAGAGCTATCTCCGGCACAAGCCGGCAGTTGCCATCTGGGAAGTATCCGTTGCTCCGCGTAGTCATTGCAGTGGACTCATCCCTAGTCGATATCACGGGAATCATCGACGCTTCGATCCAGACCGTCACCTTTCCGTCCAGAGTTGGGGAGCTCTTTCAGCTCAGTTCTCATCCGAGCACAGCTCGTCTGAATTCTCACAGCTGATAGCGACATTCCGACTTCACTTCAATGCTCTTGATCCCTTTTTGGTCGCACTTTCATTCGTAATTTTTGTCCGAGCACAGAGAAGCTGCTTCCCCAAGGATTTGTACTCGGGAATCACAGCAGTTCAACTGGCTCTTGGAGCCAGTTAAAGTGCGCAGCTCCGCCGAGCTCCAAGTACGAAGACCCGAGATCCAACTTGGAAGCATTATCCTCCGAGTTCTCACGCATTCAAGTACGAGTGATCGGAAAAACCGAGCTCACGAGCGGTTTTTGTACTTGGTAGTGAACCAAGTACTGACTTGTGTGGCCGATTATCGGCCGCCGATACCGTAGGAGCTCCAAATGGCTATACTGTAGACCACCCAGTGTTACAGGAGAGGTCCTCATCTCCGAGAGGACCGTTACAGTATGACGTACCCACGATATATACCACGATCGAAGATCGATCATAAACCTATTCTAGGTTTATTAGTCGTCTTCACAGTAGGTCTATTTTAATTGACACTAGAAATACTATAGCACATAATCAAGACAAGGGGGAGACTAACGCCGTCCAGCCATCCTCGGTGATCACAGTCGTAGAGTGGATGTATGAGTGATGGCAGGTCGGCCACAGTTTCGATCTGGCCAACGACATTGGCCAGTGACCCCCACGCCACGATCAGGCACTGGGACCAGTGGGGGCTTACTGATTGAATCTCTTGGTAGTGATTCCTAGTAGTAAATCGACGAGAATGTGATCCTGGACAACAGAGGAACATAACGTGCACAATGAAACACGCCGTAGGAACCACAGCGTTGCATACCCCATGCATTGAATGCATTGCACAGCACAAGTATGCATGATGCACCAGCTCACCTGGCAAAAAAGGGCCTCAGAAGAATCGCAACCCCCACGGTCTTCGGACTGACATATAACAACTGTCAACCGGCGTCAAATTTGTGGATAACGCAGCCCCTAAGAACGTGAACCCGACCATCGAGGTAGGTAGAAAGAATCTCTCATAATATGCGTAGAGCAGGCACTACCGCCGATGCAGTAGTGTCCTCAGGGATAGCGAAGTAGCGAGGAGGACACGTAGGTAGTAGAAGAGATTTAGAGGAGGAACTACACCTAGAGAATTCCGAGGGAACTAAACTTTAGTAACTCAGTTACTAACCGATATCGAAGCTGCCCTCATCGGTGGTCACTGTTCTCTCCTTGCGAGAGCTCGTTCAGGCAGTATGACTGAGTCAGCGACAACATACCAATTAAGACACCGTTGACCGGCACTCAGGGCCTGTGTCTCAGGTGAGTGGTCCGACTGGTCGGTCGTCAACTAGCGGTGGCGAGCAGACTACAGTAGTCATAGCTCGCAGGAAGCGGAGACTGAGGAAGTCTCTGAAGAGCGGACACAGCCGCGGTCGGCGTTGACATCGACTAGCACTAAAAGGAAGACTCACACTAGACCTTCGGCTTCTGCGCGTTGTATCAATGTCAGCTCAAAGTTCTATCAATCAGCAAACAAACGCTTGGGAACGAGCTCCCTCATCGGATCTCGCCGCGCAGGCACAGGATAGAGCTGACTTAGACTGAGCTAGGCAGCTCACCTCACAGAGGAATGGGCCGACGACAGGAGGTAGGATGCCGACAAGGTGTCGACTGGACTCCAGGCACTGGAAGGCACCCAGGCGAGCCTTCTCCTGGTGGACGAGGTGATCAACTGCAGCGTGCTGGTTCCAGCAGCAGGAGCAAGCAGCCTGCTTGCACCTCAGCGGTGATCACCGTGGGTTTTCATCTATGACGTCGACAGCGAGATGTGGGCGAGCGCGTAGTTTCGCGGCGCGCGGTCGGCGGTGTGTCATCTCGGGGACGGGAGAGGGATCTTAACTTAACGCTTTAGGTTTCTCTTGTTACTTCCTATTACCAACAAATGCCGAACGAAACTCATCACACGCTTCCTCTTCCCGGTGGGGTTGCGACTTTGAACGATCACAGGAATACGAACGGTTCGACTAGAAGGAATTCCCATGGCTTTAACGGTGGGCAGTCTAGACCTGGAGTTGCCTCCAGGACTAGTACCGCACCTCTGACAAATGCTGCAGATGCACGCGATGAGTATGTGTCTCTTACCATACAGAGTAGGATACGACACATGACAGAATCATGTGTAATATTGATCTTCCAGGTTTAATCCGCTCTGCTGAAGCAGTAGACCATCTAGATGATGATTCTCTCTATGCTGTATGCAAGAGGGCAGTTCAACATGGCCGTCCTCGCTCCCATGCTCACGCTGTTGCCTCTATGACGCGATCCAGATCAACTCGAGCACGGCTTTCCTACGAGGAACTCCATCATTTAATGGCTGCCACCATTTCTGGCGTCGAATTATGTGACTTCATCCCGGGACCGGTTACTACTAGTAGCGGCAATAGTACTCCGAGTAGTACTACTAGTCGTAGTAGAAGAGCTCAGAAGGTACTTGTCAATTTCTGCCCTATGCCTAAGATGCATTATTTCTACAACGCTCTTACACTGCCAGAGGTAGGAGTACTAAATGAACGGGTTTCATCGTGGAATTCAACTTCACTGATTTAGATATCGCAGAACTACTACGACGATATTTACCTCCGACCGAACGCTTGTCTGTCGAACTCTCATACGGACTCCTCCCTGACTCATCATCAACATCATCAGCATCGTCATCGGGACGTGAGCAGTAGTAGTAATGATAATGACTGCTGTACTAGTACTACTACGGGTAGCAGTACTACGGGTGGGAGGAGGCTAACTACAGTCAAAGGAGTAGGAATGGAATGCGCCTACATTACCGATTTGACGCTTTTTCTATCAGCTTGAAGGAGTTACTCCATCCCCATCTGCTACTCTACCCGACACGAACACTGTACAGGAGGTGGCTCCTTCCTCTACTACTTCAACACCGGACGCTATAGTAATATGATAATGGTTTCTGTGCGGACTCATGTTCTCAATAGATAAGTCGTGAAGGAGCAGTAGAGAAGAGTAGTGGCAGTCCCCGATCGACCGCTACGGCTCCTACTGCTGGTAGTAGCAGTACCCAAGCCG